GTTTCATGTTAACTGTGACTTAGTCTTTAAAAAAAGGAACAAGTATAAAAAAAGAAATATTTTTTAATTAACTTTGAGTCGTTTATTGTTTCTCTTAATAAGAAGAAACTTAAAGATTAAAGCCGTTCTGTGTTGGCAGGAAAACCATTAAAAGCTTACCACCCGCTTATTATTGATTTATGCACAAAAAACTGGTACATGAGTTTATTGGGTTAAGGTATCGAATTACAGCAAGCGCTGCCATGATATATGTGAGTAAAATCAGGTATTAAGGTAAAACTAAAAAATATGTTTATAACCGTATATATAGGATTTTTTAAATAACATTTTCGGGAAAATTTTGCACAAAATGTGTAGAGAAAAATGTATATAAGACGCAGATTAAGAGACGTAAGACCAAAATTTGCATTTTATAGTTCCTGTTATCAATGCAACAATGAGATCTTATTACTGCTGTAGAAATTAACAAAGAACGATCTTTTTTTTTTCCAAGGAAGACTAACTTTTTGCCTTCGAGGTAATGTGAAAAATGCTCAATCTGTAGGATGCGTGCTCCTTTGTTCAGATATTCCGGACCACAGCTAATGTCGTTCCTATTATTAATGTTTTTGTGTTCACATTCTATCTCTATTTAAGCGCAGGCGTACGTTTGTAATTTTTTGTTTACACTTTGAAACACCTTTTAAATGAAATATCTGTGGAAAAGAAATAAAACCGCTGGAGGATTTCCTAAGGAAGAGAAAGACATAAAAATTGTTTCTTGTATCCATTGGGTATTTAAACAAATCGATTTTATTTCTTTATGGCCTGGAATGTACGAAAAACAATGAGTTTTTGAATGCTTTACAAGAGGAATGGAAAAAAGAGACCTTTGTAAACGGGTGTAAAAAGAAATCTTATTCGATTTCGTTCACAAGTACACATACGTATGAAGTAATTTGTCTTTCCCTAGAGTTGGTTAAGTTTTTATATCTTTTTTTTTTGTTTAATTTGAAAAGAGGTCGGTTCCCATTTTGGCATTAAATAGCAGACACGCATAACACGCATTTATTGCACGGAACTGTTTTGCCATAATATGCCGCTAGTGTTAAAGCTGCTGTTTGTACGTACGAAACGAAACGAAACAAGAATAACAAGCACATAAATACGTTTTATTGCTACGTCATATGGTCTCCTTAGCATGTGGCCCTTAAGCTTTGAAAGACACAACAGAAAACCGTCTGTCCACGTTCAAGCATAAGACAACAACAAAAAAAAAAAAAAACAAAAATGAACGCAAAAACGAAATAATAATAAACTGCAAATTAAATGATAAATTAATGTCGTTTAAGCCAGAAAACACGAAAATCAATGAACTTTTGACCAAAGCTCTGTATGACTTCTATAATGTAGAAAAAAAAAAAAGAAAAAATTTAATGTTCTTCGTCTCTTTAATTTTTGGTTTTCCTTATAGAAAAACTAGATTATGTTTTCTTATAATATCAACAATTTTTTTCTTCCTTCTTTTGTGTAAAAGAACCCTTAAGCTGTACATAGTCACAGTATGGTATTTTTACCTGAGTACATGCATGTGTGTTTGAAGGCTTGGAGTATCGACTTGTTTTGTTCCTTTCTGTTATGGTCTAATTCATAATTATAAAGTTGAATACTTTGTGTGTATTCATGTGCTTATCTTGATGTTGTAGTTTGCCTATGCGTAACTACTAATGACGCCCCTTTGCAACTTACTAATTGGTTCTAATTTGAGCCTTTTTCAAAAATGCTTTGCATAATCGAATGATTAACGTCATCGGTTTCGTTGCCTTGATCGTCAATAACTTTTACTTTTTTCTTTTTCGTTTTTGTTTTCTCAAAGATAGTCATGCATGGATTGTTTATGTTAATGAAGTTGTTGAGAGATTTAGATTAGCTTTATATTTTGTGATATTTTTAGAAAATCTTCCAAGTGTGCGTTGTAAGCCGATAAAGGCCTATATATAGCTCATATCGCCCATATATGTGCAGAAGATAAAGAACCGAATAGTGCAGGTAACACAGATTAATGCAATTAATAGCTCGAGCGCGATTCTCTCCTTTGGGAATTTAAGAAAGCTCTAACCTACTTTCCCGTCTCAAACTTTTACTTACTTTCTTATGAAATTCATAAAAAATAAATAAATAACAAAATGGCTCTGCGCTTTAATGAGATTCACGGACGGCATACACTTTACCAATGAATTATGAAGCACACAACCTGTAAGAAAATTGTGTTTGCTTTATGGTATACACACGTACTGTGAACACCGTATAGTTTGGCTTATCAATATCCACGTCGAAGCAAAGTTCTAGATTTTATGTAAGATAGATACTAAGATTAGCAAAGATATAAAAAGCCTTGTCTTTACATTTTCCATTCTCCTCTGAAGTTCTTTTACAGAAGATTGCCTAAGGGGATATGACTTTGACCGGCAAATAGAAAACACATTCCATTCCAACAAAAGATCCGTATGAATAGCCGAGTAGGTGAAAATCTTGATTACCAAGTCAGTGTCCATAGATTCAAATCTCAGTCGGTAAAGACATAACCCTCGCTGTGGTACGGCCACAACCACCTCCCTATTTATTACTCTTCCCTCATTTCTTTCTGTCCGTCACCGAGTTAAACGAGCAGGAAACGTTCCCTGAGTGACTGGTATTTAAATGTTTATTTTTCACTTCATTTTAGTTGAACACCACGCATTAAACTTACTCTCAAATTTTATTCGCATATGGAAGGTAGAGAGAAACGAAGAGAAAGAAAGATGAAAAACAGAGGAACAGAGAGAAAGGGGAAAAGAGATAGACAGAGAGAGAGAAAGCGGTCATAAAGAAGTGAAGAAGGGATAATCGTTCACCAACTTAGCAATCATTGTAGAAGAGAGAGCCATGTTTTACCCGAACTGAGATATAAACCTGCAAACAATGACTTGATAGTGACGATTCTTATCTATTTGCCTGCTTACGTGGTTTTGAATTTGCAAAAGCATTTTAAGCAGATGTGAAAAAAAGCACTTTTTTTTATCGTAAGCCACTGAGCAGATGTATCAGAAGTGCGAGTTGCACGACATGCCAAATTTTAGCTTTATATCTACTACTTTAAACATTAATGTTGTTTAGAAACTATTCTCATTTACCTTTTTCCAATTTTTTAGCTAATACAATTATATTTGTCGGCAGCTTACAACTCATGCCTAGATAAACTTTAGATATTTGCCTAATGTGTAAGAGTTAGTTATAGAAAGTTAACAATATTTACATATAGATAGATATAGATATACCGTGTATATCGGCTTCAGAGTAATTACGAAAATTATAATATATTGATGGACAGACAGGTAAATAATAAAATAGTGATCAATTTGTGGCTTTTAACGTTATGAGTGTAATGTGACGAAATTAATATACCTGCTTCCTTCGCTGTTGGACTCAAGAATATTCATTAAATGTATCTGCGTTAATGAAAACAAGTCCAATAATAAGCGTTTAAATATACACCCACTTTGGGTAAAGAAATCGCGCATTAGCATATTTAAAAATATATTGCAGATATTCATTAACATACGTTCATCCTAACAGTGTCACAAAAGCCTGTTAAAGAATGAAAAAAAGAAGACAAAATAAAATGTAAAAGAAACCTGAATATTGCAACACTTGAATTAATCTCTTTTGCGTTGAATTTCACTCACTGTACATATTTCTAAGTTTTAACCTTTAGAAAATATAATCAAGAAGAAGGTACCGTTTGGGATTCTAAAAGTTATGACTAGGAATAATGATAGAGAGATACATATTGAGTTTGGACGACTTCAGTCCATCCCTGTCACACGTGACTTTTATAGCAACGAAACGGAGATATTAAAAGTTGATAGGCTAATACTTGTTCCACGTGTAAATACTCGACGTCAATTGACGCCAAGAGATATAATTCGTCACTTTTCGTCTTACGAAATACTACACAGAAGACAATAAAAGTGGAATTTTTACAATTGGATTTAATCCTGAGAACGAACGGAACACGCGTCGTTGCCTCATTCGACAAACAGACGCCTTGCTTTAGGTGGAAAAATTTGCTTGCTGTATCACGAGCTCCAGGATATAAAATGTACGTTGTAGGAAAGACAGTCTAGAGTCTTTAAATAGTACGTAAATGCTCGATCACTTGTTGCAGGCAAGAAAAGGCCTATATCGCGGCAAAACAATTTGATTGATCAACCTCAGTTATTGCAGACACTTGACGATATATACTCTGGGTGTTGCAGGCCCCGGGTATGACAAGCTGTCCTCTCATCAGTGACTATATTCCTTGTCCTAGAAAGGCGAAGTTTATACTATATCTTCAAGAAAACACAATAGACGAACGATTGAAATTAACTCAAGCTGCTAACGCAAACTTAATGAAAGCTTGTAAGATGAAGTGAGTAAATAAATGACTGAACTAAAAACGCCACATTATCTAAAGAATTTCTTGAAAATTTCACGATATTCCCGATTAAAGCGTTAATACGTTTTCTTGTATTTCATTTAAATCAGTTTCTTCCACTAAAAACTATGTCAGTTCTTTATTGACTTACTCTGTAGTGACTAATTGCTTTACATCGCAGTCATCTAAAAAGCCAGACGTTTAATAAAGAAGGGCTTTTAATTATGTATTTGTTAATACTGTTTTTTCTTTTTTTTTGTAAGAAGGCAACGAAAAGAAACTTTCAGAATTTTAGTTACTTACACAAAAAAATATATGAAATTTAAATAAAATATTCATTAAAAAGATAAGATTCCCATCATCACATTACATGGCTTACATGGAAGCTATAAGAACCACCAGATTTTGGAAATTTGTAAACATTACAAAAAAGTTGCTTGAAGAGTTCAGTTTATTGTATCAAAGAAGGAAAAACAATACAACTAAGTTAAAGGGCAATCAGCAGAACACAAAAAGAAATAGAGGGAACAAAAAAAGTAAAAGAAAGTAAAAGAAACAAATTATGAAATTTATCATTGTTGTGTTCCTCGGCAGCCTGCTGGTGATTTGCACACAATCCTCTTATGTTTACGAACCATCGCCATTTGAGAATTTACAGCCAGATTATAGTGCAAAAAATGCTAAACAACAACAAAACGAACTCTTTGCCAACTATTTTTTTAACTTTTCGCAGCATGAAGAGAAATATAATCGACCGCACAAAACGGAATGCAGTACCAAATGCTGTAAGTGTACGCTAGCAGGAAAGAAAAAAGAAAACATGGAAAAAATAAAAAATAAATAAATAAATAAGAAAGAGTCACCCACAATAGTGCTTAAAGAAAGCATAATTTCTTATCGTTGAAGGAGTTTTAACTAAATTTACACCACATTCTTCATATCGTTTTTTTTTTTTTTTTCTGGTTTCATTTCGTTTCCCTTCTTCCGCAGTCTGTGGTACACCGAATGTTAATCGTATTGTTGGTGGCACACAGGTGCGCCAAAATAAGTATCCCTGGACGGCTCAATTGGTCAAGGGTCGCTATTTTCCGCGTCTATTCTGTGGCGGTTCGCTGATTAATGATCGTTATGTGCTGACTGCTGCACATTGTGTAAAAAATAACCGTGATCAGATAACAATACGCTTACTGCAATTGGATAGATCATCGCGCGATCCTGGTATTACAAGGCAGGTGAGAATTTTATTATATTACGCCACTACCGGTTTAGATAAATAACATTTGCTGCTTGCAAGCAGATTGTATTTATTTTATATATTTTTTCCATTAATTGTCGTTATGCGATCTAATAGCGTAATAGATGATAAGGCATTTGGAGGAAAATAATTTATTTTTTTTTTATTTTTTACAAATCTTGAAAAGATTCTTAGTCTCCCCAATGGGAAGGAGATTCATTGATTGTAGCATTTTTTTTTCCTTAAAAATTCTTTTATTATATAACACAAAACGATTGCTTGCCCAATTTGTGTTTGTAAAATAAAAGACTTAAGACAAAAACTTTGCCGGAGTATCTATTTTGAAGTCTGTGCATTCACTTATCTTCTTGCCTGATTTATTGTGCACGAATTTCTAAGGAGTTTACATAAATCACAACGCGCGAGCGTTTACTGTTTTAACGATTTTTTTTTGCTTGTTGTTAATTATAATTTATACACAAGGACACAGGAGAAATTGGGATAGCCCCACCCTTTATTATAGCGATAAGCTTATCTGTCCCTTTGTCCGTCCGTTCGCCTTGTTATCCTATGTCCAGCCTACAGATCTCAACGTTATATAAATATTTTGATAAAATTTGGTTGGTCACTTCCCATATAACGCCTCCTTCTGAAAAGTCGTTGAAAGTGTAGGGGAGGTTCACGACAATGTGTTTACTTATGTTACTCTTGTGGGGATGTGGGACCAAAATTTGATTTGAAGGCTTACTGAATGCGTTGGATGGTTCGCACCAATGCATCAATATATCCACATATATACTTTCTCAATTATATTCGTAACCTATGCCATTTTTGATAAGGATGTATACAGTTTGCCTGAATGCATGCAACATTCCGAACAACTTAATATGGACTCATTTTTTATTAAATCAACTATTTTCTAAATCGAATTAAGCAAGTCTGGCACTTCGTTCGCATGAGGGTTTTGTCGACATTTTTTCTATTTAACGTAGATATCGCCATTTCTTTTTCGATATCTTAATCGAAATTGCTGTTGCTCAAGAGCGAGGGTTATTGAAATCAGACTCAATCGAAAATGTTCAGAAGCACCCTCTACGGAAGACAGTATTTCCGCCAAGATGTTAAATGAAACATATTTCTAGTTTAGATATTTCTGGGTAAGCATAGTTAAAATGTGCTAGTTTGGTATATTGAATGAATCGCAGTAACTTGAATGGGATGGGGGTACCACTTTTGAACCCCTACCATTTAAATATTTGAGCAACGATAATACTTTATGTGGTAATAGGGTTTTGTGAACTTCCATTGTTTGCTATTTTATAATGAAAGTGGGTACACAAAATAATAATTTGACAACTAAATATACTATAGTAATCCAACCGGCACTATTGGCCGCTTAGATTCATTTTCTGGATTTTCTTCATATAGGGATTTTCGGAAAAAGGTTTCAATAAGGTGCAACGTTTGATGTTTTATGAGGAAGTAATGCTCGTGCTCGTTGAGTATAGTGTTTTAACTTGTTTTTCTTTTTTTAATTTATTTCCGTATTGCGCCAAGGTTTCGAGAACAATAATTCATCCCGGCTTTGATTCTACGCGCATTGTCAACGATCTGGCTTTGCTAAGGCTTGATAGTCCGGTACCGATGGCAGAGAAGGTCAGACCTGTTTGTTTGCCTATTGCCAATCAAAATTTTGAAGGGAAAACCGTGAGTTATCAATAACAAAAACACAAAAATTCGCTTTCTCCTTCTTTCTCTCTTCGTCTTCCTCCCTTTCTGTCACTTTCTGTCCGTCTGTCTCCCTTTCTCCATTATTAATCTATATTGTGTGCTTTAGGGCATTGTGGCCGGTTGGGGTCTAATAAAGCAAGGCGGTGTAACGTCGAATTACTTGCGAGAAGTAACTCTTCCCATAATAACGAATCAGGAGTGTCGCAATACACGCTATAAGAATAAAATACAAGATGTTATGATTTGTGCCGGCCACGTAAAGCAGGGAGGCAAAGATGCCTGCCAAGGTGATAGTGGCGGTCCATTAATTGTTAATGAAGGCCGCTTTAAACTGGCGGGTAAGTAAGAATTTAATTTTAAATTAATTATTTTATTTTTAATTTGTTCTTTGATTTCCATTCTATTTTTTCTTATTATTTAGGTGTAGTTTCGTTCGGTTTCGGTTGTGCTCAACCCGATGCTCCCGGTGTTTATACCCGTATTAGTAAATTTGTAGATTGGATACATACTAGCACGCGGGATAGTTGTTATTGCAGTGGTTAAATTTAATAGAGTAGAAGAGAATGGAAAAAAGCAAAAACAAAAACAAAAAAAACAAATAAATTATATTTAAATATTTAACAATTCAAGCCAATAATATAGAAATATTTTGATGTTATTATTCATTTAACGTCTGTCAATCATGGATTTGAATCCGCATAATTTACTCGGACACATTTTGATTTATTTACTCTCCGTTCATATATGAGTGCAGTGCCATAAATTTATTAACAATACCTAAACCTTAACAACTAGATTAAGTTCAGGCAACCGTGTCCATCTAAAACGGCGACCAAATCATCTCCGACAAAAGCTAAACATCTGCATATAATTGAGATCGTAGAACACAAAAGCAAAAAAAAAAAAAAAGAAAAAACAAGAAAAACAAAACAAAAAATGCCACAAAATGATCGTATGGACGATCAAAGCAACGAATAACAAATGAAGTCAAATCATAAAAAAGTGCACCTTTTGGCGTCTGAAAATCATTCTAAATAACGAACTTGAACGAGCAGCACTATTTAAGATTAACATTTCAATATTTATGAGCTGAGCATTTATGAGTGAGTAAGTGACTGAATGAGTAAGCGAGTAAGCGAGGGATGCATGTGCTTGAGCCTGCAACTTGGCCATCGTTACAATAGAGATGATTTACCATGTGAATGGTTAATGGTTGTTTAAAGTTGTTAAATTGAATTAAGATGAAATATATTCACACACATCCGCTTACACAATTCATCGCAAACACACACACACACACACACACACACACACGTATATATATATATATATATATATATATACGCCCATATTAAACTATAAATTTATGTGTGCATGAATTTGTAGAAGAAATTATGAAAGATCAAGATTTAGTGGTTAGCTTAGTGGCATCGCTTATGCACTCATAAATAAGACCAACAAGATGATTTGCAATATTTCAAAAGAAATTATCATAAATTTGTATACATAATGGTACATAAGCGGATACAAATTCGTGAGTATGTACAAATCTACAATGTATGTAAGCAAGCGATTGCACATATATAACTCAGGCAATAGAATTTGGAAGAAAAGCTCTTAGCTTTTACTCGTATCATTTGCTCTTGCAAGTAGGCAATATTTCTGGATAAGAAAAAACATCAAAATCTTTGTGTTAAGCATTTTAACTGAACGCTAATATTATCTTAAGAAATCATATTCTAGGGAAGTTTTACTGATCATTTATTGGCATGCCAGCGAGCTCGAGTAAAGATTAATTAGACGAAATGGAAAGAAATTTGGCATATTTGCAATGTAATCAAGCAGGTTTTTGGCAATGAATATTAATTTAGTGAAAAATGTTTTAAACGAATAACTAGTAAAAAATACGTTAAAGCAGTACAGTTAGGTAACTATATATGTATGTAAGTATGTGACTATTCCTTGAATTGCATTTTACCAGATTTTATATTGCAGAATTTTTTTCTTCTTTTTTACAGCATAACTTGTACTTTACACTTTGATCGTAAGGGTACATGAAGTTGTTGGGGTAGCGTGCAATACCTAGAGGAACTAGAGATACGTTCATCCTATTATTACATCAATCAATTCATTCTACGAATTTCCCATTCTCTTCCAGCTGTTGCATACATGCGCAAGGACTGAATATGCCCTTATCAATATGGTGGAGAGTATAAAAATGCACACATACTATGTTAGAAACAAGTAGAAAGAGTACAGTGGGTGACGGCGCGTCGTTAAATGCCTTATACCACTTTACAATTATACCGGAAATGGTCGAGAAAATAATCAGATGCGAATTATTTTCGATAGAATTCGTCTTTGAGTCAAAATGCGCCAGTGCACAAAACGTTATCAAAATATGCCAAACGCTGTTGCCTATAGGTTGAAGACCAGAAGCTAAGTGGAAAGGCGGGCAGACGGACAGACAAAGTAAGTTTGGTTCAGAAAGTGATTTAGAAAGTGACTCTGAATCGATCGGTGGGTCTATCCAGACATCTTTCTGTGTGTTGCATACATCCGCATAAACTCAATATATACTTGCACCACAACTGGCGCAGGGTATAAAGAATTTTAGAAAAATTAAATCCAATGCCTGTTGATGATGCACAATGGATAGCATCTTTTGTGTGTAGTAATAGCTGCTACAAGCGTAGTACAGAAAACTCTTGTGTAATTTCGTTACGTAATCCGCTATACCTTACAGCCAAGTGAACCTTGAAAAGCCCAAATGAGCGCAAACACAAAGCTACTGTTCAAATAAAATAACAAATGCCTAGTCAAAGAAAATTCCTAACCTTTCTTTTACTAAAATCCAAGAATTTCTCGCTGTTGGACGTACAAGTAATTTTGTGTTAAAAACGTCTAATAAATCACTAATGTTGTGCGCAGGTATGTAAACAAATAACAAAATTGACATCAATCATTTTCGTAGGTTTTTATGTATGAAAAAAAAAAAAAAAAATTCTTCATAATAAAAAAAAGATTCAAAGAATTTTTACTGAATAACTTCGTTTCATGGGTTAATTTGCGGTGCTTTACCCATTATTCACATAATGTTTGCTTCGACACATTTTCACGCATAAAGTAATTTTTCATTATTAGTTTTCTCTACAAAGCTTACAACTGCTTGTACATCCCGAATTAGCGGCATAGTCTTCATATTCTCTTAGGAAGATAATGTTTTTTTATTTTTCTTCTTTCGACTTATGACTGACTTAACATAAATTTAGATACAGGATTAGATATGTTCTCTACTACACATATTATTTTGTCAATCCAAGTTATCGGGAAGAAATAATTTTTTAAAATTTTACAAGTCTTCCTATCGAAAAGAGTTTGTATCGGTTGAGTCAGCTAAAGAGGTGCAAACACTTATGCAAACATATTGGTTTCGGAATTATTATGGATTACGAGAAAAGCATCGATTCTTTGGGATAATACATTTATGATTATTGTTTAAGTACGTCATGAAACTCAATATGGATCCTTTGCTTTTTCTTCTTTTCCCGCTTTCTCAGCTACATTTTAATGTTATCGCTACAATATAATATATACATATACATATATATATATATATATATATATATACATAATACGTACATATATATATAAAATGTTGTGATTTAAAAATAAATACAACAAAACAGTTGGGCTAGGCCGGCCATCCGATTGGCATGCAACTTCTCAGCGAGCAAGCAGGTGCTTTCCGCAATTTGGGCTAAGCATAGTTACGATGAAAGTTCCGCAGTTGCCCGTATATCGCAGTAAATATATTTTTGTGAACGCGTGGCACATTTCTAGCCAAGCAACGTGTATTGTGCTACTTTGTCAATAGTCCGATGTTTAGTAAACAGCAATAATCATGTTTCGAAGTGTAAGCGCCCTTGATCCGGGTAAAAGAATGAATTGATTTAGTCGTATGTTTGCCTGAGAGTCCACTACTTAACTTGAAATTTTATCTAGTATATGGAATTTGTCCTTAAACTCTTCTTCTTGTTTGCGTTCAAATGTATCGGTTTTTTTATACGAAATTGAGGAACGGTTTGAATCAATTGCTGCAATCAGCATTTCGGATGTCCATAATCTCGGTACAACTTATACATGTACTTAAACTGTATATAAGTTGCCTTTTTGTTAGTATAAGAAAGTGAATCAATGTTTACTACGTCCAATCATATAAAACCTTGAAACGAAGCTTGGTATATAGCGTGTATTAAATTACTTTACAAATTCATGAAAGGAAACCTTAACTTAACTTTTTGCTCGCATTAAGAGCTATAAAGTATTGAAAATAGTTAGAAATTTATTAAATTTATAAAATCGCTGGCAAAACATATCATTTTGCTATCACAACAGAGCAATAAACAGCAGCCACAAAATGGGATTTAAAAAAGAGAAAAATTCCCTTGTGGGCATACGCAGTCACCAGCGAATGGCAATTGAAAATTGCTGGAGTTTTTCCAATTCATTATCACTTGGCCAAAGTCATAATTTTTCACGCTAAAATTACCATAATTTGTAAAAGGGAATATTTTTTCCTTTTATTTATTTATTTTTTTATTCTCTTCTACAATTTCATAATCATCCCGCTCTGGCCAATGCGTGCTAGTCTACAAATTCGTGAGTGTTGAATTGAAAAATAATCTATAAAAGGTCTTGACACATACATATACACCCATTCATACAAGCATACAAGCACAACCGTGCATAAGTAATGAATAGAAAAGAAATATATAAACGCAGAAAGAATGCTGAACCATAAAAAGCCAATGAACGAGTCCCGCGGGTAAGGTGTTGGCAACGAAAATGCCAAGAAAAATGACCGAAACATTAATACAAAATTTAAACCGCAACAAACAGCACAAGAAATGAAAATAATCTCTCAAACTGTGCCTTAAAATGGTTATTTTAACACTTGGCGGCCGGTACTATTGACTTCGACATACATACATACATATGTATGAAATTATACTCGTATAAGAGTTTTAAGTTAATTCTACCACAACTATGTCTCAACTAAATATTTATATCTAAGACAGATAGATGTGAGCTAGTGCGAGTGTTTTTGTGTGTATTTGTGTGTTTATGTGTTTGGAACTTAAAGTATCGCTATCAAGTCACGACAAATTCTCTTTGTAAACGAAATCCTGTAACATTGAAGTTTGTCAAGTTACACGGCGGCTTAACAGAACTTAACAAAAAAGCAGAGTGACGTCGAAGAAAAAAAAAAAAAAAAAAAAATCCGAAAATGCCGCAGACAAATAATGTTAGGTTGGGAACTTCCTGTGGAAACCTTTTTTGGAACCCTTGGTACTAAGTACTAGTAGATGCACTGAGTGAGTGCAGGAACGTGAATGCATGCATGAATGCGTACGCTTATGTATATATGTGTGTATGTATCATAGCGTTGATGCTGATGAAGCACATAAGTAAGTTTATGCATGTTTAAAATGCGGAAAATCTTAAGTAATTCCAAAAGCTTTGCCAAGAATGGCACGAGC